CTGACTGACTGACTGACTGACTGACTGACTGACTGACTGACTGACTGCCCCGCAATTTAGACTATTTTACCAGATCTCCGCAGGCTAGCAGTAGTGTTTGGATTTGTTGGTGACCTCCAAGAAGGTGGGAAGTGAAACTGCGTTCTTCAGCAACCATACGCCAATCTATGGAACTTGCCCATGACAACTTATCGGAGCAGATGTGTTTGAAGGTGCGCTTGAGGGACAAAATCCTTGGAAAGGAAGGACTCCGTTCCATTACCAGTTACAACGGACCCACAGTCCCAAGTGCTTTTCGTGGCCGGAATCGTGGTCCTCGGCGGTCCGTCTCCAGGTGGAAGAGACCCAGTTGGATCCGGCGAGTCCAGAGGGTCCAGACGACGAGGCTCGCGCTGACGTCGGGGGCCTCGGATCGGTGGATGGGAATGTTTACTTCCACAGTCGACGATTAAACTGTTTCAGCCGGGTGCGAACAGTGCAAACTGCTTCCAGAAATGAATGAAGAGGCCTGGCAGGACTCGAAAGGACTCCAAGTGTTCAAGGGACCCACATCAGGATAGCACAGCCCCATGGTCGAACGGCTATAGTGTAGGAGCATCGCCGTGCGTCCTGGGGTAGTTGGCACGCGATGTTTCAAGATGCTCTCACCGGGAGATGTTATCTCAGCCGGAGGATCATCGAAATGCAAAACAGTTCCTTTTGCCCACGAATAAAACTTTACAAGTGTGTAGGTTTCCTAAAAACCTAGGAACCAAATCATTAGCGCGAACTATCCTGCGTCATGTCGGTAGTAGCGTCCACTTGCAGCTAGTAGCTAGCCTCTCCCGACCTCCACTCGTGGCCTACCCCTGGGCTAAAAAGAAAGAACCGTTCTACACCTGGACCGAGAAACTTTGAAGACCGGATTTTCAGGGAGTCTCCAATGGCAGGTTCCGCCGAACACCATCTTGCCACACTCCAATGGAAGCATGCAGGACGGGAGAACGGGCATCAGTGGGTGCTCTCGAAGTGAACACCTTTATGGGACTGGCATTTGATAAATTGGGGTGCTCCATTTACAGTAAGAGGGTCCTGCATTTGTTTCAATTATATATTTGAAGGCAACTAAAAGTCGCAAAGGCTCCACATGCCAATCGCGTGGCTCACAAGTGGGGACCTGATTCTATTCTACAGTGACTGAGGTGGGGCTCTCCATTGTCTAATTTGGGATCCCGTGTCCCTTGACCAAATAACTAGATTGCAAAACAGATGTGAACGAGATCACGAGACAGAGAGACCTCAGGTCCGGTTTGGGTCATTGTAGGTGATACAGCTCTATGAAGAGACTATATACCCTCCCTCGAACCATCATGGAAGTGGAACATGGCCCCTTAACCAGGGGTTTTCCACTTCTTGTTTCAGGGAGGGTAACGGGACTTGAGTCGAGCCGATGGGAATTTGAACAAAAGTTGCTAGCTGCTAGGAGAATTTTACATTTTGACAGCCTGGATTGATTCCCACATTGGATTTCTCTTGCCTGCCGCTTGATCGGGAAACGATTTTTCTGTGTGTTCCAGTCGGACACCGTAGGTCTTCAGCAACACGCGCCTTTTGGATGAAACGATCGACCTCTGTGCCCTTCAGTTGTGCCTTGGCGCTTGAAACTTGCAACCTCCGCGATATTCTTCCACAACGCACTTCCTTTGCCGAATCCAAAGAATCTGAGGAATCGGGAGATGTGACGACTCCCACAGTTTTGCGCAACGAAGAGTAACGAAGGGTCCCAACATGAATTCTTTAAGGTGACCTCCGTTACAACAGCTGGACTGGGGATTCAGTGAACCGAGTCACTGAAACTCGGGCTTTACCCTTGTTTGGGGTCCATGTGGGTGTCTTCTATATGGTCTTTGAGTCTGGTCAGTAAATGTCAATATCCTTTCGCCTTTCGTGTAAACTGATGCTAAAGCTGCCAGCTTTCCTCTACTGGGGGTGGTCTCTCAGTTTCACTGTTAGTGGCTTCCTCCAAGGAGCGAACCGCTGGAGCTGGGCCCCTGTGAGTTCAAGCTCTTTTGAAAGAAAACTGCGGCCGTGGGAGATCAAGAGCTTGGCATTCGGTTGGCGTAGATGTCTTTTCTCAAAGGTTTAGCAATCCAATGGTGTGCAAAGAAGAAAGATCGGAGAGACGATGGATGAGTTCAAGCGAGGTTGGACAAGGCAAATTACTGAGAGTTGCTATGCTCTAATGCTCTACAGGCGGAGTTTGATTTTTCATGTTTGGTTGTGAACAGTAGCGACCAGTCCGTTGCTATCTCCTATATTGGGAATGAGAAAGGAACAAATACAAGTGGTTTGAGAGCCAGTTGGCTATCATCCTTGGGAGTGAGTTTAGAATCTACAGAACAGATCTGTTTGCTGGAGGTGTTTTTGTTCTATGGCTCATGAGATGAAGGTAAAGGGAGCAAATGGCATGCCCCTTCAGCCAATCCACAGGCAATGCAAGCAAACATGTGGAATCAAACAGGTCATGAACCCTTGACATGCTAAGGCTCAGAAGTCTGTCAACTTCACTTCGTTTTGAAACCCACCTTTTGCAGCTTGTCACTCCACGGCTTGGCTTTCATGGCAAACCGACAATCCGTGCGTCGGGTAAACTGATAGATTGCATTCTAATTATGAATGCGATTGGAAGTGACCCCAGTGACTTTTTTCCCTTAACTTGTACTCCAACCTAAGCCGTGCAAATCACCAGCTGGATGAGCCCTGGGACATCGGGGCCAGTAGCTGGCTGCACAGAGCGCCCCTGACACCATCTGACGCCCACAGCACGGTGGATGGCGTGAGACGCGACCCACCATGCAGTCCTTCCAGTATGGCGCCATGCGGGCATATGCCTCAGCTAGTACAGATGGATGAAGATGGGTAGGGTCAGCAGGGAGCAAATCAAGTGATGAGCAGACGAGACCCATCAATGATTGGATCGAGCTGGAACGTTTTTGGTATTAATCCCCTGTTCAAAACGCTCACGCTCCGGTGAAGTGCTATTATATCTGACAATGAAAGGTGGAGAGGATCAGATGTTCATGTCTCTTGTTCCAGTCTACCGGACCCTGAAGACATTTGTCCACGCTGTTTGGCCTGAAAACAGCGGGTCAGGCGCCTGCTCCGCCCTGTGGGAGTGGCTGGGCGGCGCCACATGCGCCCCCACCGCCCCCAACTGGCTGTGGTGGCTATGGCGGCTGTGCCGGCTATGGCTGTGCTGGCTATGGCTGTGCCGGCTATGGCTGTGGTGGCAACTGCGGGGGCTATGGCCAGGGCTGTGGGCAACCATGCGGCTGTGTCCAAGGGTATGCCCAAGGCTATAACCAAGGTTGCGGTGCATGCGGTGTTTGCAGCGGCTGTGCGACGCCAAGTTATCCAAGCTGCCCGAGCTACCCCAGTTGTCCCGGCTATCCAAGCTGTCCTGCGGGCGCTTGTGCTTGCAATGGCCACGTGGGGATGCTCAGAACGCTCTTTGGAGAGGGGTGAAGGTGTGCTTGGTATTCACCTGTCCTAGTCTTCTGACATTGATTGTTGCAACTATCTCACCAACCACTTTGGGTGTCAGAATTTGTTGAAGCAGCTTTCAAGTTTCTGCAGCAATCATGACATTGAATACAGTCAGGCACAAGTGGCGCCCACCCTGACTTGCCCCTCACCGCAAAGCTCTGGCCTGATCATGCAGCAGTTGCTTGGATTGGGTGGGGCCAGTCCATGACGCGATTGTCTCAGAATACGTGACATAGAAGCGGGAAGGTGGGCTGTAGAGAGTTTTGACAATCTTCCATCAAAAAGATCCAAAAAAGCCGTTCGATCAGAGTCATCCTCTCCGATCCATTTTGGAGCGTAAACACCCAACATTTTTCTTTCGAAAACAAAGACCTATGGGCGAGCATCGGATGTTCTTCTAACTTTTTCAGAAAAAGGTTCTTTAGAGCATCTTAGGGAGTGTGACACTGCCGAAGCGGCGTTGCAAATGGGACACTAACCGCTTTTACCTTTGCTGCGACGCGTTTTCAACGAACTAATTTCCTGAGTATATTTATCGCAACCGTGTGATGCCATGTCGCAGAAGAATCCCTCAATTCCGCTCCATTTGTATCTACCTGCTTTTGCATGTAGATAGGATTCACAAACGGATTGAAAGGCTTCGTGCAAGGCTCGCTTCCAGTTTTTGGGTTTTGACATTGCAAGGGCTTACTCAGCCATAACTTTTGTGTAGAACAGATCATTGCAATTGTCAAGACAGGAGCTTGCGTGGGAGTTGGGACACCTGTGCGGAACGGAACATCGGGGTTGCGGATCGGCATTCAAACATCAGTGCGGAGCTCAGTTGATCCGGGCTGAGGATGGAAATGCTGCAAAAGAGCCTTGTTTGCATCCGGCGTGACTCCGCAGAACTCTGCAGGAAAAAGGTTTCAGGTTCGAAGGAGGAGCATGCAGATGCAGTGGTGGGTTTGAGGTGGATGCTTTCCAGTGCAGTGCAACGACCATTAATTTGGCAAAACTCGGATGAAGGTCACTTGACTCTTCGAAGCTTCAATTGGGGGAAAGCCCAGGCAATGATTGAAACAACCATCCCGAATCGATTGTCTCAGAGAAGAAGACCGAGACAATTGAACAATTTTAAACTATATCGAACTCTTCTGAACTTTGGTGTCAGGCCAGAACTTCTTGAATCAGATCAAGTGAGGTCCAGGTAAATCAATCTTGCCGTGGTTAATTCAGTAGCTCCCAGCCGGGCCTTTTGTGGCCCCAAAAGTGACCCATGCTCCCCTGAGGTTTGGAAGTAGTTTTTCTGTCGGAGCCTTTTTGAGGCCTCCGGCAATATCCTTTGTCACACTACGTGTTAGAACCTTTCTGAAGGTCCAAGCTAGTATCATGATGTGAGAACCCATATGGCAGCCTCGCATACCTAACCAAAGAAACAAAGTTTGTCTCAAAATGAGGATTGGCAAGCAAGTGTCTTTGTCGGTCAAAGCCCCCAGTGTCTGTGATAAGACATGTCTGGGCTCAGCCTGAAGCCCAAACGAACCTAATAGCGATGGCCTCCAACCTACTAGCGATGGACCCAGCTGCCAAGCGGCCAGAGGCGACTGCAGCAGACTCAGGAGAAGGTTTTGAGCGAAGTGAAGCCTCAAGACAAGGCGCAGGAGCAGCGAAAAGCCGAGTTTGGTGGAGAAGTCATGCGTGTGCGTTCAGCCCTCCCCCAAACCAACACAGCCCAAACAGGCAGGTGGGTTGGCTTTAGATCATTTTCCTCCTCACTATGTGCATGGGAAAACTCTTGACACCGGGTGAGTGTAGTGAATTAGTACGTCGTCTTAGTGTAAGGGTGTCGCACCAAGCCACTTCAGTACTTCAGCTTATTCTTTTCAAAAACCTGGAATGGTCTTAGTTGGAAGGACAGTGACTTGTTGTTGGCACCTAAAACTCTATTCAATGTTTAGGGGTTCAGGTGGCTCATTATGAGCCATCATATCATGTTGGCATGAGCTTCATTCCTTTTCAACCAGAGTACACTCTCATTCTTCCACCAAAGGGCATTGAAACCCCACAATCAGGGAAACCTGATGTCATGAGAAGATGCTTTTGGATGTCCCTGATGTCCTGACGCTCACATTCTGGCATCGATGGGGACCAAACCATCGAGACCTTGGCTCCTTCCTTTGCCGTTCCGCTTGCCTTCCCACCGTTGGACTTTCGTTCTGCACCTGCCCACTGAAAAAGGGTTCGGCTCCGGATCTGTGATTTATGAACGACATTTTGCAACCTGAGGCAATTTCTAAAATATGGGTGTTTATTGAAGTAGAGGGACCCCTGATCTCTATTCTAATACACACACTTATGGATATGCATACGGAATTGAAAGCGGTGCCACACGCCA